TCATGAGATCATATTATACATGAGATCGTATTATTCATGAGATCATATTATACATGAGATCCTATTATACATGAATAAAGACGGTATATAATTTCATAATTTTTAGGAGGATAAGTAATTCAATTTGATGGCAGCAAAACATCACAAACGCAGTTGAGAGAAGAAAAGTAAAAGGCTTTAAAGGTGGTATTAGTCTAATTCAGCTGGAGGAGCTTTTTATAACTAAATCAGATTAATTATCAACAGGTCAGTGAGGACTTGGTATATTTTAGACAGGCTGGATTTCTTAGAAGTGAAAATGAGCAGTGGTTCAAAATAATGTTTCTCAGTGTAAAATTAGGAAGCCTTTGAAAATCTTATCTCCAGTCCATCTGTAGAAACCCTGTGCTGAAGTGTTCTGGATGTTTCAGAAGGACTGTCTGCTTAGATTCACCCTCTGTCTGATCCACTTCTGGCTTTTCCTTTAAAAAACTTCACTTGTTTTCTTGGCTCTGCAGAGGGGCTTTTCAAATCAAAACATTTAGGTTGAAGGATGGTCAATAATTTCTGTGGTAATCTCACAGGAAGAGTTTTGAAGGTACTGTAGAGAATTTTTAATAACATGTCTGCTTTCTTAACAAACTGCTGCTTAAATAAAGTTCAACTCAGTTCACTAAGTCAGAAAATATTTTATTTTAACTCAACAACATTCACCTGGGAACATCCAGAGCCGTGGAGGTCCACGCTGATAACAAATCACAGACAGCTGTTGTTGTGTTGAGTCGCTGCTGAAGAGCAGAGTGGGAAACATCAACGCTTGGTTTTAGTTTTTCCTTTCAGACAGCCAACATGTCTCCTCCCTGGGAAAAAATCCAAACTGCAGAAAAATGCTGTTTCTGCATGAAGACCTGGAATCCACACATGAAGTAGCTGCTTCTTTGTGGTTGCTCTCCTGTTAATGTGTGCCTTCAGGCCTTTCTGGCACTTCAATCTGATTTCAGATCAACATTCCTCTCTCACAGTCATGTAATTACCTGCTGTAAATCTGAGTGGCTGTTTTTCTTGCTCTTCTCTCAGGGGAAGAAGTTTGAGATCCTTCCCGACGGCCTGCCCTCGGCCCGTAAACTCATGTACTACACAGGATGTCCCGTGCGCTCCCGCCACCTCCTGCAGCTGCTCAGCAACAGCCACCGGCTCTACATGAACCTGCAGCCCGTCCTCAAACAGGTCCGCAGGCTGGAGGAGAACGAAGGTACGTTCACCACGTCACTCCACCGTTACTGAGCCTGTCTCACAGTCAGAGCCAACWCTAGCTCAGGTTTGTGTACCAGCAGATGTTTGGATCACTTCCTCAGCTACACAAACACATGTGTTGTTTTTTATGTTATATTGTGAAACAAAGGGATGGGTGATATGGACAAGGAGTTTTGGGGCTTGAAGTTATTGCTGCTTTCAATTCAGAGTCTCACAAACAAAAGTATTGTTTAAAAAAACTCACCCATTATTCAATTAGTACACCGGTACATTTAAAAAAATACAGCTGTGCTGCTCAACAATACACAGTATTCATTTAAATCAGTCACATTTCAACATAAATCAGATTTATTGTTTCTTCAGGCTCTGATGGTACTGACAGTGGAGTCATTGTTCAGACAGGAACGGTTATAAATTTAATCTGATCAGGTAAAAACCTACTGAGCCCACAAGGGGACATGGGGGATTTTTTTTCTTTTTGCGTTCCCACAAAAAAGTATTGCGTTCCCTCGCAAAAGTAGTTAAACACTGTTGTGCTGCTGGTTTATTAATAAACTCATGTTTACCATTAGCGAATTAGCCTACTGCTTTAATTCAGCTTCAGAATGAATATATCACACAYCCACACATGGAAGTATGTCATATGCTGATATTTTAACACAGTGCAGCCTCGCAACATCAGMGTCAATTTCACGAACTTGTGGCGACACATCCTGTTTTGGCAACCGGATATTTCAAAATAAATGTCTGATTTAATTCAGTTCATATACAAATCAAACTTTTGCGCGGGAACACAAAACAATATTGCGAGGTAACACAAAGGTATTGCGAGGAAACACAAAAGTATTGCGAGGTAACGCAAAAGTATTGCAAGGGAACGCAAAGGTATTCTGAGGTAACGCAAAAGTATTGTGAGGGAACGCAAAGGTATTGCGAGGAATCGCAAAGGTATTGCGAGGGAACGCAAAGGTATTGCGAGGTACCGCAAAAGTATTGCGAGAGAACGCAAAGGTATTGCGAGGGAAAGCAAAGGTATTGCGAGGTAACGCAAAAGTATTGCGAGAGAACGCAAAGGTATTGCGAGGGAACGCAAAGGTATTGCGAGGGAACGCAAAGGTATTGCGAGGGAACGCAAAGGTATTGTGAGGGAACACAAAAGTATTGCGAGGTAACACAAAAGTATAGCGAGGGAACACAAAGGTATTGCGAGGTAACGCAAAAGTATTGTGCGGTAACGTAAAAGTATTGCGAGGGAACGCAAAGGTATTGTGAGAGAACGCAAAGGTATTGCTAGGGAACACAAAAGTATTGCGAGGTAACACAAAAGTATAGCGAGGTAACGCAAAAGTATTGTGAGGGAACGCAAAGGTATTGTGAGGGAACGCAAAGGTATTGCTAGGGAACACAAAAGTATTGCGAGGTAACACAAAAGTATAGTGAGGGAACGC